TGATGTCCCGTTTCCTTGTTCAAAATATCTGATTTAATGGCATCGTTAAAGTTAGTTAAAGAATGTTGCCACGTAAAACTTTGAAAACTAAATTTTTTCCAATGAAAGCTCAGAAACACCAAGATGTTGTGGTCCGAAACAGGGGCATGATAATTTAATAATTACAGTCAACCAGTGTTACTTCCAGATCCTTTTTATGAAATTTTTTCCGCGAGTCCATTTATTTGGCCACGTTTAAGATAAAAAAATGATTGGATAAGATTTTAAACTTCCTATCTTAGCAAAACACTATTAGGTCTAATATTCAAAATTGTTTCATAATAAAAATTCTCAAGAAGAATTTATTCAGTGAATTTTTCATGCTCCGGAACATACCGGACTAGCGCCGATGTTGTAGCCACACATTTTCATAACTCCATAAACATGAATATTGTGGGATTGGAAAAAGATACACGCATTTTAATGGAAATTGTTGCAGATAACAAGTTTGAGTTGCGTTCATTTTACAATATTGTATGAGAACATAATGCGATAAATATTCAAAATTCTATATGCTTGTTTCGGTAGAGCATTTTAGATGAAATGAAAGGCTTTGTTGAAATGATAAATTATGTACCGCAAAGAGGCTTGTGCCATATACAAATTTTCAATTGTAGGTATCTAATGAAAAATATCGTATGTGTATCTTAAAATGCATTCCTAAAATGTTTACTAAAACGAGTTCAGCTTCGCTTCATAAATCAGGGTTGATACGAACGTTACAAGGGAGGCATCTATATCATTACGGAAATGTTAGTTGTAGAGGACTTTGTAGAAGGTATCATTTTTGGATGTGAAACCTTATGCACACCTACGTAGATGCATTTAGAATTTGACGCGATGATTCCGGAAGAGCCATTAAGCTAGAGAAACGTCGGTAACCAAGGCGACACGTTTGACGTCAAGCATCGGGATAGCATCCGACGATTGTTGTGCATAGATACGCGATTACGGGAAAACTGTAAAAATTATACGGAAATTAATGCTAGTGGCGTAGCTACAGTTGGAATTTTAATAAGTATGCATGAGTGGGGGCGTCGCTCACTTGTGATGGATTTCTGTACCAATTTATTTCCTATATATATAGGAGAGAGCTTTATTACATTTTACTGTTAAATCAGCTTTGGGAAAGCTTTTCTGAAGTAGAATGGCCAATAATGCTAAGATCAATAAGCGCTCGTTGGTATGCAATTGGCATCGCAAATTGATGTTAACACCTAACATTTTGTAGTTTACGGTGGCGTGCAAACTCACAGAATAGCACGAGAAAGGAGCTTTATTATTCCAATCACTTCAGTCTATAAAGAATAACGTAGGTAGGTATTATTTTCATTGTTGTTTTGTTGTTGTTTTGAAACGATACATTCTGCTCACGTTTCGCGAATGTGGGGCATACAAATATAGAACAGGAGAAATATACCTCTCTCTCCCCAGAAAATTACAGTTTTCAAACCGGAATAATAATTTAAAAAATGCCAAATTTATTTTGCACCGAGTTTTTCAACTTAGTTTATGCACACTGTAGCATGTAGTGCGAATTTGGCATGATTGTGGTAGGCAATTACAAAACCCCATAACTTGCCGACCATGTACCAATAAATACACGATTGGGAATGGGGGATGTATTTATTTATTTATTTATTATCCCTCTCTTGTTCTGGGCCCTCAACAGACTTGCGCCCAATTACAGAGTGACCCGCATAATGCTTTTTAGAGGTGCCTCTGCAGAAGGTCTTAAGTTGTTCTATACTACTCCGTTATTTACCTTACGAATTAGGAAAACTGCAGGAAAACCTAATTCGGAGTAGCCGGCAGAATGTTCGAAACTGGTCTAAGGTAATTCCCATCTCTGCCACAGATGAAAAATTCACCTCAACCCAGGAATTCACCTCAACCCTAACATGTAAAGGTAAGTAGACGTTTTTATTCTTATAGCATATGAGAAAATCCGTGGCGTATGCAATAAATAAGATTTTCTCCAAATAGCGTTTTTCTAATCTCGCGATTCTCGTCCGGAAGTGTTTTTCCTCGAGCTCTAGTCTACAACTTTTGATTGAGAAGTCTAATCGAAAAAGTACGAATTGTTTTGGATTCTACACACCAAAATTGGTAAGGAAAAGTGTTTTCCCGAGATATTTTGGTGTAGTCGATTTTTGGTAAAAAAGGAAGGTGGCCTTCTTTTGAGGCCCGCAAAAAAAAATTGTCTCAGATCGACCCGGAAAAAAATTCTCTTATAGAATGTGGCCTGTAGAATCCATAATTTCAAACAGTTCCAAGATTGGGCTACTAGTTCAAAAGTTACAGCCCTTTGAATTTTCTTTCGAAATTGGTTTCTAGTCTATAACTTTTGATTGAGAAGTCTGATCGAAAAAGTACGAATTGTTTTGGATTCTACGCACCAAAATTAATAAGAAAAAGTGTTTTCCCGAGAAATTTTGGTGCAGTCGATTTTTGGTAAAAAAGGAAGGTTATACACTGCCTTTTTTTGAGCCCCGAAAAAAAAATTGTCTCAGATCGACCCGGAAAAAATTTTTTCTTATAGAATGTGGCCTGTAGAATCCATAATTTCAAACAGTTCCAAGATTGGGCTACTAGTTCAAAAGTTACAGCCCTTTGAATTTTCTTTCGAAATTGGTTTCTAGTCTATAACTTTTGATTGAGAAGTCTGATCGAAAAAGTACGAATTGTTTTGGATTCTACGCACCAAAATTAATAAGAAAAAGTGTTTTCCCGAGAAATTTTGGTGCAGTCGATTTTTGGTAAAAAAGGAAGGTTATACACTGCCTTTTTTTGAGGCCCGAAAAAAAAATTGTCTCAGATCGACCCGGAAAAAATTTTTCTTATAGAATGTGGCCTGTAGAATCCATAATTTCAAACAGTTCCAAGATTGGGCTACTAGTTCAAAAGTTACAGCCCTTTGAATTTTTTTTCCAAATTGGTTTTTAGTCTAAAACTTTTGATTGAGAAGTCTGATCGAAAAAGTACGAATTGATTTGGATTCTACGCACCCAAATTAATAAGAAAAAGTGTTTTCCCGAGAAATTTTAGTGTAGTCGATTTTTGGTAAAAAAGGAAGGTTAATACTCCCTTTTTTTGAGCCCCGAAAAAAAAATTGTTTCAGATCGACCCGGAAAAAAAAATTTCTTATAGAATGTGGCCTGTAGAATCCATAATTTCAAACAGTTTCAAGATTGGGCTACTAGTTCAAAAGTTACAGCCCTTTGAATTTTTTTTTCGAAATTGGTTTCTAGTCTATAACTTTTGATTGAGAAGTCTGATCGAAAAAGTACGAATTGATTTGGATTCTACGCACACAAATTAATAAGAAAAAGTGTTTTCCCGAGAAATTTTGGTGTAGTCGATTTTTGGTAAAAAAGGAAGGTTATTCACTGCCTGTTTTTGAGCCCCGAAACAAAAATTGTCTCAGATCGACCCGGAAAAAAAAATTTTCTTATAGAATGTGGCCTGTAGAATCCATAATTTCAAACAGTTCCAAGTTGGGCTACTAGTTCAAAAGTTACAGCCCTTTGAATTTTTTTTCGAAATTATGGTTTCTAGTCTATAACTTTTGATTGAGAAGCCTGATCGAAAAAGTACGAATTGTTTTGGATTCTACGCACCAAAATTAATAAGAAAAAGTGTTTTCCCGAGAAATTTTGGTGTAGTCGAATTTTGGTAAAAAAGGAAGGTTATACACAGGGGCGGACTGGGTACTTAAGGGCCATTAAGCCATTAAAGTATTAGTGTAGTAATGAAGGTGCCGGGGGGGTAGCTCTGAGGTGCACCACAAAAACATTTTAAAGTACTCCTTTCTCGAAAATCAATTACCATACAGTTTTTTTTTAAATTGCAGCTGATAATTAAAAGTAACAAAATATACAATCCACACGAGGTGCGTCGCCTATCATTGTATTTCAGCACTTTCATGCAACGACAAAAAATGATAAATTCATTGTAAAACACTTCAATTAAATCAGAATTTTTTAACAACCTAACATCAACCCCAATTAGAGAAACGTGTTAATAATTTATTAATAGTGCAAGAAACTAAATACAGCACATACTTATAAATTTCCAACGGGCCATTATGATCTACAGGCCAGGTGGCAATCGCCACCCGCCCTCCCCCCCCCGTGCCAGTCCGCCCCTGGGCATGATAACAAAAAGTAAAAGAGTGCCAGACAATAACAAATTTCACGAACTCACGATTAATAAGGGTAAGTGTACTCGTAGTAAAATAAGATTAATCAAAACTAGTTTTTCGAAATTCACCTTTTAAATTTATCTTATGTTACTGTCCAACGAACTAGGATTTAATTACTAAACCTGCAGTTAGTTATGTTTTTAAACGTGGTTTGTAAGAATATCAATATTATTACTAATATTGGGAATATTAATATTATACCTATTTAAATTATTAAAACAGTCGCGCAAATTAGTAGTGAGAAAGACTACCTTACACTAGCATTCCTAGTGGCTAGTGGACACCTTACAAATAATTAAACTCGTTAGTGTAGCACTAGATGCAATTTTTCGTTGAAATTGCGCGAAACGTGGATGTGAAAACGTGAAAAGGATACACATGTTAGACTGAGCTATCACTTCCGTTCGCCACCTCCCCCCTGTGCCTCTTGAATTGTCCAAATCGGTTTTTTCATTGCCCCCACACAAAAGGGCAAATAATTGAGTACAACGCGTTAGATGGTTTGCCTTTACCAAGTTTGTGGTAATGTAAGTTGGGAGGAGAGGGAGAACTGGCAGAAGCACCAGTTATGATCCGAGAGGTGCTACGTGAGTGAGAACTTACTTTGTCTGGCGTTTTTTTAATAAAAACAAAACAAAAAATTAATTCTCGTAGCAAAGCGCACAATACATTTTTGCTGGGCTATTTAAGTGCATATCTGTGGCTCTGGCCCCTTAAATGGCAAAGAATTATGAAACGAAGATGGCATTTCTGCCCCTAAATGTAAAAACTCTATTTCTCTTTTTAATACAGGTGATTTAGCCGGTCTATGAATACACATTGTAGGCGTCATGCATTTTGATTTGCAGAGTGGATATCCCAAATACAACTCCCATGATTGACCCTTATCCTAGTATCAGTCACTTCACGAGTCTGTGCTTCCAGCGGGATCTGGTGGTGCAGTCAGTACTGTAGGTTCCCGTACTAAAGATAATAGTCTATCCAGCTTCATAATTTGCAGAGTGTGTTGATCCAAGTGTTGTTGTTTCTTCGGTGGTTTACATGGGACTCGAAGATTTGGTGACAATTTAAGCGCTGTTACGCACCCCCTAAACGTTTATATTGTATTTGAAAGTTGTGCATAATTGGCTTACTTATCGTCTCCACAAATAATAACCGGTAGTTTGTTGTTAAACGCGATTCTTGTCAATTTGTACTTTTTCTTCGATACTATTGCTTGTACGCAAATTGGTTTATATTTATTGACGTTTAAATCAAAAACATACGCACTTCCTCTTGAGGTTACCGCGCCGAAAACTGTGCTGGAATAAGGTGCCCATTTAACGTCTCCTACGCACGCCCCCAAATCGAAAACAAACAGTGGTTCTCTGAAAAGCAATGAATTAAATACCCTTGCGCGTTGGTAGAAACGTACTGTCTGTTGTCTTCCCAGATCTTTATTCTCCAATCTCCACTGCATGAAGCGAAAATATCGGAATTTAACTTATTGTAGTCTACTCTATAGACTGGCATGTGATGTGCATTATAAGTAAATAGATAAGAAGTACTGTAAGCAGTACTGCATTTGTAGATTAACCCCTCCTCTGTTCCCACTAAGTAAATTAGGGGATTTTCTGGATGAAAAGCCACGCATGATGCGCACGCTGGAAGTAATTAGTGAGCTTCGCCGGTGGGCACAGACTTTTCTACCTTTTCGCTTAACCAGAGTTCCATCTGGTCCACGCACTGGTTCCTTCTCAAGGTAAAGGTTGATAATTGTAGTAACAGCAAATTCGTTTTGCATCAAAATCCAATGAATTACTTTGCCGTCTGAGGAAACCGAGTAGAAATTCATTTCACCATCAGGTAAATCCGGGGCCCATTTTACCTGAGGAAATAAATGTTGGGTTACCACTTAAAAAACGGCTAAACTTACCTCCCAGACTATGTTCGAGTGTTTCTGTGTAACTGAATTACTTTGAAAAGCAGGCACTTTACAGGTCGCTTGGATGTTGTAAACCATAACGTTGCCATCGTACAATCCGACAACCAGCATATACGGATATTTCTTATGTATGTCGATACACATTACTGCAGCCTCCGTAATGCAAATGTAGTCAGGGAATGAAGGATTTTTTATTGTAAATAGACAAATTGCCCCTCCTTTGATGGGTTTCATGAAATCCACTAATATGGAACAAGATAATTCTAGTAGCCGCCATTAATGCGGCGGAACTACTACTGCAATTTTTTCCACAGCATGCGGTACTTACAGAATCCCAAACATACAGCAAACAGGTCATAATAATGAGGATTCCATACCATATCAGTAACGGTATTCTTTTTGGTTTTTTCGTAAGAGAACTTCCATAGCGGCAGTAAAGTTCCTTCTTCTTCTCGGAATTCATCTGCAGGATCTTCCCAGTACCTATAATCTCAATAAATCGCTTTTTCCATTAATAGTTCGAGACATATTTAAAGTGCAAGATTTACAAGCGTGTCTAAAACAAATACCTTTCGCAATATAATCAAAAGTATTTAGATTCAGCATTCGCTCCAAGGTTTTCCAACATTCGAATACTCTCCCTTGAACCGCTTCGCTAATTTGCACCTTTCCGGCCACTTTTTTCATTCCCGGCTTAGACACTGTCATTTTTCCTTGTTCGCGTCTCTCTCGTTCTCTCTCCTTTTCGAGCTGCTGCTCTTCGTAGTCGTGCTGATATGCATCGTAAATGATCCATTGAAGTACGTTAGAAGAATACGACCCTTTTGGAGGCGGTATAGTTTGAGTCTCTCGATTCTACGGAACAGATTTAGTTGGACTAACAAGAGAACTTTCAAGTTTACCATTCGTGGATTGGTGTAGGTCAACGCCGCTCGTTCACAGAAATTAAACTGGTTTATGATTTTTTTACCAGGAACTGGACCAGCCTCCGCTTTTTGTTCTTCCTCTACTTCCGTCGCAGCTTGCGCAACTTCTCCGCCTCCTTCTCCTTCCTCATCGCTCTTTTCGGGTTCTTCTTCGTCTTCAGCTTCACTTTCATTTTCTTTCGGGGCAACCTCTATTATAGGTGCTTGAGATGGCGATAGCATGAGGGCAATAGACGGCGCCGTACCAAGTTCCAAGGCTAAGTACAAGATGATGTACTAAGGCGTCTTACCACTTAGTGTAGGTACTTACGATCAATTCCTTGTGCAATAAGTTGCTTTCGCGCATCATCGGATTCTTTATGCAAAAAAGTCCCTTTTTGACTAAAAACCAGTACCGCATTTCCAGCAGACGGTGCTGGAACAAATTCCCCCAAATTAAAAGAATATTGCACCAAATTATCTGGTTGTTGGACGTTAACCGATTGTAGTACTCTTGGAATAATTTCTTTAAGCTCCTAAAGCACATTTTAAACATTTTAACAATCTAAAGTTTTCTTACAGCATCCGTAAGCTCCAGTTGGTCTTTGGGTTTTGTGAGCTGACGGGATTTCTGCCACTGCTCAAATTCGTCATCTTCTGCTGCTTTTGATACCTTTTTCTTCTGCAAAGTATAATTTATAATTAGTAGAAGCAATAGCAAATATCCCCTTAAACACATACTGTTAATGCACTAACACAAGCTTGAAAATTTTTTAATTTCCTTGCTGGAAATACTTGTGAATGCATCTAACTACCTCCCCACGGTACAGCAGTCACTACTCTAAACCCCCATTCTACAAAATTAGCAATTCTGACACTATAATTTAACTTTTAACTTTTGACCTAATCGATACTTGAAAACTGGTACAGAATGTAACAAAATTAGAATGCAGATTGACATGATTATCAAATTAATTGCGACAGTTGGTACATAAACTTTAAATTTCTACATCGAGCAATACGTACGGCAGTTTTAGGAGCTGTCGATTTTTTGGGATTTGTTGCCGGTGGCATAATTTAAGCAAATTGTTTAACAAAAACCAAGCTGGATTAATTACAATGTACAAATGCGCAAAATTCAGTTAATCATTTTCTTACTTCAAAAGTCAAGCTTTTGTTGTTGCTACAGCAACCGAGTTTTTTACGTCGATCCACCTACTGTTTTTGTATAAATTAGGGATTATTGCAGCAGAATATATAAATATGATATTGATATTTCGTAGATAAATGATTATGTCTTCAAAATTTGAATTTTATTAGGGTATTAGCGTTGGAACCACATTATTGATCTTTCAGCCAGAATGCATATGGCCGCAGTGCTGCTTTGTGATATCTCTCGAGTTTGTAGTCATTCGGCTTTAGTGACACAATAAAGGTTTCTTTTTATCAATATTATGTATTTTATAACTAATAATGTTTACAATAATTAAATCGTGTCAAATACGGGCATCTTTAAAAGCATGAAAACGGTGGCAAACGTGCGGGAACATAAACAAGTTAAACCCTTTTAATTTTTAAGTAAATAATGGAAGACAGCGGAATAGATTCGGGTGACCACAATGGGGATTCTGTACCAAAACCGATTCAAAATAATGAAAGACTTTTAGCGGTATGTTTAGTGCAATATGTGTTCAGAAACAGCTACGTATGTCTGGCGTCTTCAAAATGTTTAAATAACTTATGCATGTTGCTGTTTGTAAACACTTTTCCTTGCTTCAGCTTTTAGCTGAATTAATTTTGAACGAGAGAAACATTTTTAGACCAGCGATAGTTCGAGCGCTGATAGTAGTAGATCCCCATCTCGAACGGTACCACCATCGTCAACTAGAACCCTACAGCGCAAACTGGAATCTAGAATTGAGCACGCCAGAAGATTGCACCAAGAGTACCACACAACCCCAGGACTTATACCGATACAAAGACTTCCCATTCCAGGTGCCAGAGATCATCAACCTCTCGTCCAGTGGGATACCGACGATAGGTGAGAACTTAAATGTCAGGAAACTATCAATAAATATTGATCCAACTAAATGTCAGAGCGTTACGCACGACATTCACATAATAAAAGTTAATTTGCTCTAAATAATATGCTACTATTTCAGCGAGGAAGACATAGTAAATTTTTTTCCATTATCACGTAAGGAGTCAAGAGCCCACCAAGAACTGACAGACACGTTTAGTATAGAGGAAATGAGTATATCCGGCGATGAAGAAGAGGATCTCCATTTGGTACCACCTCAACCGGTTTACAGAAGATTTGCTTGCTGTCCTTTTCCCATCTGCGTTGTACTATAAAGTACCTACCTATTATAAAACCATGGAATTATGAGGCCTTTGTACATTTACATGTGCCAAAATTGACAAAGTAAATGACGAAAAATCATACTACGGTTTCAGATATTACTTACATAAAAAAAAGAATGGACAGATAAAGTCTGTTTTCTTACATTTTTAAAAAAACTTATTTTTTAATCCAATTTAGTTTATTTTTATATTTGCCTTATATATAAATATTGAGAAAATGATAATTTCTTATATTGTTTTTTAATTTATAGCCTGTTGATAAATTAGAAAGCAGACGTAATGTATTAGGTAGTTATATATAATGTGATTTGTGTATCAAGTTGTTTATTATAATGCACTTTATTGTGCCAAGTTAGAACTTTTTCCATACAATGACTGTTTTGCTTGTAAAATGGGTTTATTTACGAGACGTTGTGATTTATATAGTTTATTTAAAAATATATGGAATAGAATAAAGGCTCGACTGCAATGACGCATACGCTATCAATTTTTCCTTTCGATATACAAAACGATACAATTTTGTCGCCACTGGTGCTTATTGTTTAACGAAGGTGATTCGTTATTCTTTAGGATGTGAATTGTTGGTAGGTAGGTACCTACTTGAGCTTTTTCTAACATTTTAATCCGAGTGAGTGCTTTCACTTTCATTTATTGATGATAACGCCAAGATGATTGACTTATCCAAGAAACTTCGTTTTCAGTCAAGAGCGCGAGCAGGTTTAAAGTGAGTCTCACGACCAAAACTTAATTATCTATTAAAACGGAACAATAAAACAACATTCACATTCTATGCTCATACTTTGTGAAGAATATTTCTACATTTTGTATTTTAATCCAGTCACCAACAGACTTATGGGCTCTTCGAGCCTCTTTTTTTCATTTAAAATCAGTTATACTTAGGTAACTACTTTTTGATAAGAATTGATTTATCTTCAATGTGTGATCCAAATAAGAGCCTTCCCAATCCATTATCGTTACTAACTCTTCTCAGTGCCTACTGCTTCCTTAGTTTTTGTGTCTTCAAAGGAATTTTTACATTATACAGACCACTTTAACCATTCTTTGTAATAATTCTAAATTATAACGTTCTCATTCTTTAATCGCGAATCTCTAATAACGCGTTCATCTTGCAACAGACTGGAATTGCATCCTACCCAAAGTATAAGTAGGTACTATTTTAATTAAATATTTTGGATGTGTAACCTCAGGACAAATTACAAACTTGTGTATAGGTTACCCCTTGATCTATTAAGAACCCTACCCTAGACTTAGTAGAGGTTATAGGTGATCAAAGTTTTAGATCGCTCTCACAATATTCTGTTATAGATCCGTTCATTTATAATAAAATTGTTGATCTTTTAGAGAGAAAAAAAAAATTTTATTCTTTAAAAGTTGCTTAAAATGGTCTAAAACGTCGACATTTGATGAAATTTTGAAATGTTCAAAAAACGGCTATCGCAATAGCTACCTAGCACATGAGGAAGCTAAAAATATGTGTTAAATATCAGTCTTGTAAAGAATTTCACGTACTTTGCAACTGTGTAAAGTAAAATATGTGTTTCCCATTTGAACAAAGGGCTGGAAGCCAACCTTTTTCATTACAGACCGCTTTTTTTCAGACATCTTGAGTCGCGAAAGTCACATTAGGTCTAATGCCCGCGGCTAACACTAGAACATGCACGAGTCCAGCCCTGACGATATCAAAAGTTCCAAAGCGGTGACATTACATGATTAATACGCTACTACTGGCCGAGCTCAGTTTGAATTTCTTGCAATGGATTCGTTGATGCAGTTTGAAGGATTGAGATCGAGAACTGCCAGTGAAATAACTAAGCGCAAGTCGAAGATTTGAGAACAATTTGCGAAATGTAGCTAAATTTCCCTATGGCCCATTTTAAATAACTCAACGCTTTTACATTGCGTTATGCTAGGTGTACTTTCTATGGCCTATCTTAAAAAAAACACCCTGTTGTATGACCCTAAAGAAGCGAGATATTCATTGCCAATTTGATTTTTCAATGCAAGAAAAACAAGCATTTGCATCAAAATCCTTTTCCTCAAAAATTTAGATCTTTATGAAAGTGCAAATAGTGAACACTAACACATTTATTCCCAGAATAGCGTTACACACTCCTTAAAATAACATTTTTCTCAAAGCCATGCGAAATATTGGAAAATATTAGGTGTTTAATTACCTGTTTCCAAAAACACACTGTCTTTGGAAGATGATTCCTTGCCCTATTTTCCCAATTATTCAATCGCAACCAATATCAATAGGCCTCCTATCCTAAAATATGTTGGCGTTCGACCAAACCGATTCATGCGTTGATGAGATAACGTAAACATCTAAACAATAGATCCTACGTGCATCTACAGACATACTTATACAATTGAGTTAAATATTACTTATACCACACATGTAAATTACATCTGTGCTTATGCTTACACCAAAGAGTATATAACGTACGTACCTTATATACTCTTCGCTTATATCTCAAGTATCCATGAGATGGAGTCTTGCTAAACCCGACGAGGGGGGCTTTAAAGTTAATTACGTACGCCAGGTATGAAAATTTCACCAACTTCGTAACTATATTACAAAGGCTGCCGTTTGGTAATTTCAAAGTCAGTATACATTTATTAAAATATAAAAATAATATGTTATTATTTGATATATAACTCTCGCCAGGAAAGATTTCCGGTTACAGAACACTTGATCCTGATCTACAATATCTGTTTTTCGTAAGGTGCTAGCGACTTCCGGGATAGTATTGTGTCAATGTTGAACGAAAAGACTTTTTGTTCAACATTAGCACGATCCTATTCCAGAAGTCGCTCGCATCTTAATAAAAACAAAGATTGTAAATCGACACAAGGTGTGTTGTGACCGGCAATCTTTCCTTGCGAGAGTTATATGTAATTAAAGGTTTAATATGTAAAGTGTACGGTGAAATTATAAGACCATGGAGATCGGTAACGAAGCGTGTGCGGACCTATGTTTATACGAAATTTTCCGCATAAAATAAGTCATAAATAATTAGCCCTTTCCGTAGATATACCATATTTGCAGAGTTTTTAAATATCAACGTTACCTATTAATGGATAATTTATGAAAGCCGTAATGAAGTAAATGTGGGCCACACAAAAAAATGTGCGTTGCTTGAAAGCGTCAAGTACCATAAACGCAATTTACTCGAAACGATTACTCGGTCAATTACATTAATACGACGATTGGTTCCATCATTCTTTTCTGCTACAGTGTGAATAATGACAAATATGATTAGTGATTTTCACTTACGTTGTATCCAAAAGCTTTAAGGTTCCTACCGAGGTTCCTACTTCCTACTGAAACAACTGGAAATGTTAATATTTCGATTGTGTTTATAATATTTAAATAACATTTCCAAGTCATGTGGTCAGAACTCAGAATTCATAAGAACGTCAATGGTAAATCGCGAGTTGAGCACGATGCAAAGCATTTCAGAAGCTGCATAATAATACAACCATTTACAGGAATGTGTTTTTAAATATATTTATTTCGAGGTAGGTAACTACCGACTATTTCAAAATTTTCGTCAAATTTTCATTTTTTAGATTTAAAGTAAATGTTTTTTCTCTAATAGTAAAATGTTTTTATAAAAAAAAGCTTTCTGTTATAGTGTATTATGTGCAGGCTCTAGTCTTATTTTGAGTTAGATTACTTACTCGTGAGATCAATAATTTCAAACTTTAACTGATCTGTATTACCAAAAATGCGATTTCCTCATGCATATGATGATTTACAACTTGATTGTCTAACTTTGTTGATATTTTTTGCTATTAATTTAGTTAGACTATTTCGTCGTCAGTGCAAAATCTGAAATAATAACGAAATTAATGTCCCAACTGCACTGTGTAAACCTAGATTGCTTCAAGTGAAGCAGTATTAGGGAAAAACAAACGTATCGTTTTTAATGTAACGGCTATTGGAACATACATACCGTGATTTGTGTTTGAATGTAGAGATCAACCTCTTCACTTTGCTTGCACAGTACTTGTGAAGCATCTAAAATGTATTGGGTCGGTTTTATGAAAGGTTCATATTTTTTAAAGATGTACGAGTAGATTATATTCAGTGTTTACTCCAACGAGAAGGTTTTCCAAACAGTCAGAAAGTTGGTATAAATCGTATAAAATCTGTGATTGTATCATAAAGGGTTGCCCAGTTCTGTTTCATAAGTCATATTGCAGTGTACAATGGTATGCGATCATTACGCCACCCAGAACACACCTGCCCAGCTAGCTAAATACACAGAACAACCTTTTAATTAAGAAGCTCCTGTCACAATGAAAAATCCCTTTTTTGACTTTAATTTAATAATTTGAGGTAGCCTCGATCAACTTCCGAAAATTCCAAAGAATTAACAATGCATTAACATCTGATATAATTCTTGGGTACCAAAAGAAAAATCTGACATGAAAACTCTATCCGGGTTGCAAGATGGATACGAATAAACACACTGTTAATTGATTCCATATGACAAAAATTTATTCCGAAACAAATGAAAGAATTAAAACAAAATCCCTGAAACAAAGAAAAGCTTACAACGCTTGTTTGGATCTAAACCCGCACGTAGGCAGCGACAATTAAAATCCTAAAATTATATAAAGTTTTTTTAAAATAATCCAAATAATCTGGTCGTAAAAGGTTTGCGATACTAGGCGCACTTAACTTACACACAAATGCTGATAGCTTCTGAAGTTCACTTTGCCTTATAACACAGAATTAGATTACGAACAAAATGGTTTAATGAACAAGATGACAATTTTCGGTGACTGTTCGGACGGTAGAAACTTCCAATTTTTAATAAGGCTGCTTCCTTTTTCAACTCGACGAAACTTTTTCCGTAATTTTCTTACACCACTTTGGTTAACTTGCTTCTGCACGAATTAATTATAAAAATGACGAACTGCGTCTACACAAACGTGGCCAACGGTCCAAGAATTTAATGTAAACAAACAATACACGCATACAAACGTCGCGAAACTAGCAACAGCCTCGTTTTTGCGTTGTTTCCAGTATTTAACGCAACACCAGTTCCACCATAAAATAAACTCCCTCTTGAAGAACTTTCAAATAAATCGCCAATAAGGACGGAACGCGCCAAACATCCTCACTTCTCCAACATGGAATGTGCAATCCTCTATGACATCTACATCAGCGAAGGAACACGCGCGGTAGTTAAATTTCGCCCAACAATAAAACTTCTTATCGCAAACGACCAGATGTAACCTTTTATAAATCACACAAAATCAGTCAGATGTGCCTAAATTAAACAATTTAACAGGGATAAAATTAAAACGAAGACTACGCCATTATAAACAAATGTAAAAGAAAAAAAACA